TCTAGTCACACCCACAACATGACATATTTGTTGTCGGTTTAATAAGTCGGAATTAAATTCAATTTATAGAATAAGTCCGACATATTGTGATATCTTTCAAATGTAATGTGTATTGTAATGTAACAATTTTCATTTTATTTTGAGATGTCATATTTACTATTTCGAAAATTTGGAAAAGTGACAAGATATTCCAAGTATAGTAACACTACTAGAAAATAGGATATTACCGACAGAATTTTAGCGACAGAAAAATCCGTTGGAAACAGAGATGGAATACCGACGGATTAAGAAAACATAATTATATGGATTTTGGTGATGATTTTCTGATGATTTGGTAACACAATACACTTCGTTGGTAATACCGTTACAACTAGCGACACTTTAACAACAGAAATCTAAAAAAATTATATTCCACCGGAAATGGGTTAAAATAAAATTTGATTTTTTTTATTTTTATTTTTTAGATACACTTGGTTGGTAATACCTGTCAAATCGGGCCGTCGTGTCGTGTTTTTGTCTGACACGACACGACACGACAATATTTTTTGTAACACGAACACAACACGACACGATGTCGTGTTTTTTTTCACTAACACGAAAACGAAACAATTAAAAAACGACAACACGACACGATACGACAAAGATAATATTACATAACTGTTATTTTATTTAATTCATATTTAATCATATATAACACGATAAAAACGACAAACACGAAAAACACGACAAACACATGCTCAATCGTGTCAATTTCGTGTGGATTTGTAAACACGAACACGACACGACACGACATCGTGTTTTTTATACTTGACACGAACACAACACGAAAACGAATTCGAATTTTGATTTTGTCCCAATTTCGTTTCGTGTCGTGTATTTTTGTCGTGTCGTGTCATAAATTGATACCCCTAGATAGTAAGGACAATTTGGTAAATATAAGAATGTTAAAGGGAGAGGTTCACTGAATCATTGTGGGTTGGATTGTGCCCAACTCCCACTTTCCCTCTTCTCTTTCAACTTCACACTTCACACGACATCTCTTGTTCATCCCAGCGCATCCCCAATCTGCAACCAGCGTGCCAGCCCCTCCGCCTCCAGCCGACGGCCACTTCCTTCGCCAACGACATTACATCTGCCATCACCGACGTCAGCAAACCTTCTCCCTCCCAACGTCAGTCTGACCTGCAATCCACCACCCCTTAACCAAGTAAAATTGTTCCCCTTTCTCTCTGTGATCGACGAACAACACCGCCTTGCCTTCTTGCTGCCGCCATCGTCGAAGTCGTTGTTGCAGTCGGTGAACCTTATCATTGGATCAAATTTCATATTTTTCTCTAAGTTTTGGTAAAACAAACCCCAACTTATTTTTTCTATTACATCGATTGAGTTTTATGTTTATATTTGATGCACCTCGATCTCTTTTATGTTTAATCATCTTAAATGTATAGTTTATTGAAATTAGGGGTGAACAAAAATCGCACCGCAATTAAAATTAACCGCAAAAACCGCAGCCGATAAACCACAACCGGAATAAAAACCGATGGTAAGGTTTTCTGTTTTTCAAAAACCGCAAATTTACGGTGCGGTGCGGTTATTAGTTTCCAAAAACCGCAAAAAAACCGCTCCACACCGCATATATTATATACCATTTTATTTATTAATTATTAATATATTAAATATTAAAAATAAAACAAGTTTCATGGATGAAAGATGGATAAAATATTAACAAACAAAAGCGTTTGTTTTTTGTTATGTTTAACTTTGAAAATTTGTGAAATTAAACAATTTTAAGATATTTATTGTTAATTGCTAATAATTTGATGTTTTTAAGATATTAGTTGTTTGTGATTTAAGTTAATTGTTTTATACATTATCGTTTTTTTATCATTACAAGTAATATGTTTGAACTATTAAAATCATTTGAGCTCTAAACTGTGGTTAAACACCACACAAATTAACCGCACCAAATTCATACGATTAATACCGCAACACAAAAATATAAAATCGTACCGTAAAAATAACCGTCTAACCGCACCGCAAAATAAACACACCAAGCGGTTTTAAAAATGGATTAACCGCATTTGCGGTTAGTGATGAGGGTTTGGCTAATAACCACACCACGCTCACCCCTAATTGAAATGCATACAATGTGTTCGAGTAAATGCCCTATAAAAACCAATCCACCAAAATTGAATCTGTTGTTTTGAGTGCTTGAATCTATTTGAGTTTGGCTGAAATGGATACAGTATGAACTTCCATTCCTTTTGTTATACTTAAAATTCCATTTCTCCTTTTGTTATACATGTAATATAGAAAACACTACTGGAAAATTGAGCAAAAGCGATAGAATTTCAGCGACGGAAAATTCCGTCGGAAAAAAGCAACAGATTTACGACGGATTACCGACAGACAAATTACTATGATATTAGCAACGTTTTTGCGACGGTTTCGCAACAGAATAAAATTGGTCAGTAATCCGTTACATTCCAACGGTTTACCGACGGAAATCAATAAATTTGAAATTCCGTCGGAAATTTAAATAACTGGGGCAATTAGGTAAATATACGTGAATGTTACAAGGCATAGATTTTGCCCTATGCTAACGTTTACGCTTTCTCTTTCTAGTTCACTCGATACTATGCTCCTCCCACCGCATCGATGCAAGCGGCCACTACCTCCGCCAACGAAGTCACCTCCGACATCACCTCCGCCGTCACCCCCGGCAGCAAAGCCCTCGTCATTGACGCATCATACCTTCTCCCTCTCACTGGCGGTCTGACCTGCAACCCACCTCTGTGAACGACGACCACCATCGCCTCACTATCTTGCCGCCGCCACCATCGTCGAAGTTGTTGTAGCTGGTGAACCTTACATCGATTGAGTTTTACCTTGGATCCGATTTCAGCCTTTTCTTCTCCAAGTTGTGGTAAAAAAACCCTAACTTTTTTTGTTTCTATTACATCGATTGAGTTTTAGGTATATATTTTTTTCTAAATTGGATTATCAGATCCTCATTTAGCATTAGAATATATTCAATCATATTTTGTTGATAAATAGTAAAATTCAAATGCATTTCTTTGCCTGTTGAACTAATGTGTTTCTAGCGTGATGTTCATTTAGGTTGACAAAGTCCTTGCTACTAACTACCTTAAATTTGGGTCTAGAGCTTCTTCTCTATGTTTTTCTTTTTCTAGGTTTGAAGAGCACACGTAATTGATAGTACATTTAATTCATAGTAGGGTAAATACATCAAATAGATAGCAATTCTTGTTAATATACAAATTGGTTTAAGAATGTAAATGGGAATGTGGGAAAATTTTATCTGTTAATATACACTTTTTTGTTTTTACTTGTGGATGAACATGCATTGATTGTATTATACTTTTGTTCATTCATTGGGAGATTACAATCAGTGGTATCATAATGCATTTCCATCTCCCGGAGATTCGTAAAATTTGGGTATATTCCCCCGAGCTCTTCATTAGCCTTAAGAAGCAACAAACTAACAATCATAATTTTTCAAATTTCTTGATTTTATGGTTCATATTCAATAATTTAGGATAACATGGAGGAACGTAAAATTATAGTAAAATGGAAAGGACGCGTAAATGTACCAGATTAGAAATAATAGTGTAGTAGTGTGTACAACTAGCTATTGGTTTGAGATAGAATCTAATCTAAGGCATGTTCCATTGTTGTGTAGATACAATCTGTTATCTGTGTGAGGTCCCAACTGTCAAAACCAATAATCTTTTTATTGCTGCCCTAAGTAAAATAATAGCCGTCCAAATTATAGTCAAACCATAAAAAAAAAAAAAGAACGGATATATAATTTCAAAAACTTTGGGTAAGAATTACATATTTGCCATTATTAATATATTGAAATGGTGTTACTAAATAACAAACAGGGCCTAATGGAACATTTCTAAGGAAGTAGTGATCTTTTAGGTCCACTTAGTAGATTTGTAAATATAAAACAAAGTGAAACTAATAAACAAGAAAGAAACAGATATTTATCAATTACATATCAACTTCCAGCAGTTTCTCTCTAAGAAAATTTCGTAAGTATCTACCTTACTAGTACTTTTCACTAAATGCATGAAGGACAAATAGTAATGGCTCACTGTTACCCATGACTAAAGAGAAATTTTTTACAGTGGACATGTATATTGACATGTCTTGGCTACTTGTATTATTTTTATGTGTATATAAAAAATAATGAAAAACTGGGAAAATTTTGCTTAATGAGTTAATCATATGGTTGTTTCTTTTCTACTTAATCTGTACACAATGACTTAATGGGTTAAGCCAAAAAAACCTGACTTAATGTATTAAGACATGAATCCTTTAGCTATTTTCCTCTCATGTTAAAATTGATGAGTATTGTGAAATGTAAGGGTACAATGGTCATTTGGTCTCAATTAAAAGAAACAGAGTCTATGTATAATAATATATGGCTCTTTATCCGGAAAAACATCATTACACATACAGGACTTAATGAGGAAGAAAAGAAACAGCCCTTTAGTTTAGTCATGTGAGGTGCCATGTGGACATAAAGTGAACACTTTTTTCCAACAGGATGCCACGGAGGATTGAATACCAGTTAAAACGTGTTCCAGTCGTGCAATTGAAACAACATGAAAAGTTTTTTTTTATCAAATTTTAGTATATAATAGGTCAATACCTGATATCCTACAGAAGAACTTTGTGGAACTGATGTAATCTGGGTGTGTGGTTTCAACTTCAACCAACAACAAGAATTGATCAGCTGATATATTTATTACAAAAAGGACATGTGTGCATGTTAGTACCTATTAAGATGATTAATAATGGAACGGAATTTTACTTGATAAGGATCTTTATAAATTTAGATATATATTTTCCTTTGGTCTTTTTTCTATAAGGTATGATACAAAAGTGAACTTTTAATGTTATACCTTTGGTCTTTTCTTTAGGTAAGTTAAGATCTTACGTTCACTTCACAGGTTTTGATTGCAGAAATGATTCCAAAATTGCTTTCATGTGCCATTAGTAGTTTAAAACATATGTGGTTGCTATATTATGAACTTGCTGACTTCGGTAAAAAAAGTCAATTTTTTTCCTCTTACCACATACCTGAGATTGGTGTAGGACATGTAATTTTAAAGTTTTTCTTGCTTGTATGCCTGACCCGTTATATAAAATTGTTGTGACTTGTGGTTCTCATGATATGCAGATTGAAACAAGCATTTTTTATTATCTTGAAGCTGGTGCAGATATAATAATCACATCTTAGCAGGTAAGTCTTTTTGTTATATTTTAAAATATCCATTGAATCATAACTATAACTATGTTACATGTTTCCATGCTAAGTAGGATTTCAAAATATGATGTTGTAATTTCTAAACAAAAGTTGGATGTCATCATAGTGACAACCAAAATCAAATATTAAAGAAGAAAAAAAAAAATTCTTACAAAATCTTACACCTTTCCAGCCAAACATTTAAATAAAGAAAAAAAACTAAAATAAAAATAAATTACACCAAAAAGAAAATCACTAACAATATCAAATGAAAACAAAAACTAAAACCCTATACGGTATAATAACAATAATTTCATCAAAAACGTCTTCAACCGTCGATATAGAGACATTATTAATGGTGCTAGAAAGGCATCTGCATTTGCAGCCAAAAAGGCTGGTCTTGTCTTCCCACCAAGGGAGACTTATGACTTCTCAGTGATGCGTGATTTTCCGCCTACTTGGATCACATCTGACGTATGGCAGGCTCTATGCACGGTAAAGTGATATAATACAATAAATTTCTTATAATAATAATGACTTTCTGTTTTATCATAAAATAACTTGTATTTATTACTACATAGATATGGGACACTGATACTTGGAGAAATATATCCGAGAGCGGAAAGAGAAATCGTAGCAGTAGTGTTAATGGTTCCATCTCGGTACATACAGGTGGATCGATTACAACAGAACAACACCGCAAGAAGATGGTAACTGAATCTTGTTTATAAATTTTAGTAATTTGTTTTTAGTTTAGCATAAATTACAATTTTTTTTTTTTTTTTGGTAGAAGGCAAAGGGGAAAGACCCTTTGTGGGGAGACATTTTCAAGCAGACTCACCTTGAAAAGAGTGAAAAGGTGAAGTTGGCATCTGGAGAGTTGATTGGGAGCCAACCTGAGTACTGGGTTAATGAGAAGTCTTGGACCGTATTTGTAAGTTATCTTTATCCTTTTTAGATATAAGATTTGATGTATTTAACTATTTTCAAGTGTTTAGAGTAGTAACAATTTTTATATCTTGGTAAATTGTAGGACAAATATGAGAAGGCAATGTGTGAGAAATATAGCCCCGACCCTAGTCGACATTCGTTGGGTGATGTTGAAATATGGGAGCATTGTGTTGGCGGGAGAAAGTAGAGGGCGAGTTTACGGGGTAGGATCATCAAATCCAGGCAGTGTTGTGTCGGGGACACCTTATGAGTGTGGTTCATCATCCCATGATTATGCCTTATATCAAAAGAAGGTATGTGTCAATGTTATGATAAAATAGTAAAGTATGTTGCTATTTCCTTCTCTATTTTATACTAATTATATGTTTGTTGCACCATATTCTAGATAAATGAATTAGAGAGCATGCTGGAACGAGAAGTGAAGAAACGGGAGGAAATAGAAGCCAATTTTGATAATGAGGTGAAGTTAAGAGAGGACATGGAAAGCCGTCTTCTTGGAAAAATGAATGATCCTTTGAAGCAATTCACCAGAAGATAAAAGGTAATATTTGAGGGCATTTATGGTATTTGACAATATATAAACATCTCTCTAGCTAACAACTCTCAATGATAGGTGTGGAATCCACAAGAAAGAATTCTCTATTGGTTGTTGACAATATTTGACAATATGGATTGAAAATTTTGGTATTTAACAATATGGAGTTATAGATTTAATGTATGTCAAATGATTGAAATTTATGGATTTTCTTTTTATATTTGGTGGTTTTAAAATATAGCTTTAATGTATGTTTAAAAAATTTGTGTTGAATATGTAATTATTTTTAGTTTTTAATTTCTTTATTAATTTGTAAATTTTTTTATAATGCCAAAATCCGTCATTAATCTATTATAAAGAAAATTTGTAGTCATTTTGGGATTACGACGGTAATCTGTTAGTAAGTTATTCCAAATTTTGCCGGTAATCCGTTAGCAAGTTATTTCATATTCCGTTAGTAATCTGTTAGTAAATTTTTCCGTCGATAATCCGTTGCAAACAAATTCTGTCAGTAATCCGTTGCAAAAAATATTCTGTTGGTGATCCGTTATTATTTCCGACGGAAAAATCCATCACTAAAAATTAGCCAGAGCTGTCGGAATTCCATTACAAACAATTAGCGACAAGAATATAGCGACGGATTTTGGTGTGTTACAATTACGTCGGTAAAGAGCTTTATGCCTTGTTCCCCAGTTTTTTTTTTTTTTGTAAATTCATCAAAGGAAAAGGAAGGAAAATTTTGACCGAAAGAAAGGGAGGGGAAGGAAAATATTCATTATACCGTGTTCCCAAGTTCGAATGAAATGAAAAGAAATGAGAGGAAAATTTTATGTTTTCGTGTTCCCGAGTTACGAGAAAAAAGAAAGTAAAACTTAAAATTTTCCTTCCCCTCACTTTCTTTCCAAATCCGTCCAATTTGGAAGGAAAATATGACTCCAAAATCTTTCCCCTCCCTTCACTTTCCTTCTATTAATGAAACTCGGAACACGATTTTCCTTCGATACCCCTCACTTTCCCTCCGTATCCTCCCATTTCCCTCCTTAAGTAGAACTTGGGAACAAGGCGTTAGCGACGGATTACCAACGGTTTTGGCTGTCGGTACTGCTGTTTTTTTAGTAGTGAAAGTATATATTATATGTGTTGGTGATGCTCTTTGTAACCAAATACTATTTGGTGGCAGAACGCCCCACATGAAATAAAGCTAGGTTTTTTTTAATCTCTTCTTTATATATATCTTGCCGATTATGTTTAATTTGACTTGTTCTTTTCTTCATAAATCGCAGAGTCGGGAACAAGCACAGTACAGGAAGTTAGAAAATATAAATTAGCTAAAATTTTGTTCTTTCGTTGATATTAAATAAATTGTTGTCATGGTTTTAAGGTTTTAATTAGAAAAGTTGCAGATTTATCTCGATGTGGTGTAACATCGGTGTGGTTACAAAAAAAATTATTGTTTTTGAATTAATAAAATACATTGAATAATATGTGTTAATACAATTCATGGAATGACTTTAGGGTACATGTGTATACAACTTGAACTCAACATACAAGACAAATAAGGAGCTAAAGTATTGGATATAGGAGATGCATAACCACCATCTGATGGTATTATTTAGTTATCTTTTTTGGTTTGGAGAAATATCTGATGTTATTTTGTTCTTTTTCCATACTTTTAAATTGATAGTAGCACAAATCACATGGTTTGAATCAATCCCATTTGAGATCAAAGTTTCTACTTTTAGTATTTATCACATGAAGACCATATTGCCCTTTAATAAACCTGCGTTCCTTCTCCTTTTGGCCTTTTTAATCTAAAAAAGTTGTGCAGTGTATGTATGAAAAAACCATCCAATTTTGACATTTACCAAAAAATACCATTTGGCCCTTTACTCATATTTTTGCACCTGATCATCCAGCTTTTGTTATTATTCACTCTCTTATTCTAATTGAACAAAAGCATTAACATGTTCTAAACTTACTAATCCATTAATTACTAGTTATTATATAAAATCCAAAACTATCTGATGTTTCTTTGTTTCAAAGAAATTTTGCATAGGTGATGATGATGCTTTCGAGTACTCAAGTGTAAGGTGAGTTGTGACTGAACTGTAGAGAGGTGACTTTGTCTTTGTGGTAGGTATTATTTTTCATTTTACTTGAATGTCTGCTTATGACAAAACTCTATCACATGAAAACAATAATGTTTTCAAATATGTTTTGTTGAGTTTTATGAATTTTTAGTTCTTGATGAGAATCTTCAAAGCTTGTTTTAAAATGTTGTGTCAAATTAGTTTCATTAAATATAATTTTTGATAAAAATTTATGTTCCTTGGAGTTGGAGAAGTAAAATAATTATATTTTTGCTACATTTTGTGGGATTCATGAAGGATAGAACCGAGTGGTTGAAAGACAACACTAACATCAAACTTGGTTGTAAAACACTCTATCCTCTGGTGTGAATATTTACAAATATACCCCTAATTTGTGAAAACATGAGTGTTTCATTATTGCTTGCTAATAAAATTAGTGGTATCATTTTTTTCTCATTTTTTAGGTATTTATTACTTGTTGGATGCTGCATATGATGATCTCATTCCTGCACATCTTGTCTTTTTAAAGAGCAGATTAAGATATATTCTCCCTCTTGTAACATTGATCGAATCAGAAGGTGTTTAATTTTTTTCTTAAAAGTCTAAAATACCCTTCAACAATGGAAACCACCAATACATTAGGAATTTGCTATAAGTTCATATTATTGAACACCACTACTTCATGGTTTTAGGAAATCATTCTTGTTGAAGGTCTGAAACTTGAAGATGTAGCCAGGATTATATAATGTCTACTACTTACCATTAAGGTTACTAGGAGGAGAAGGATCTCCAATTACATCAAGTGATACCAGCCTAAAATCTTAATACTTGTAGGCAAGCAAAAGTCAAACGTGGGGTATTTTGATATGTGCATATTTAATTATATACTTTTTCTAATATCTTAATACTTTTTGGCTAATTTGTCTCAGTTATTGAACAAAAGGTACTTAATTGTGTTTAAATTATATTTCCAGCCTAAAAGACATGCTCGAGTTAAAAAGGAAACGGGATTAGCAAACAGAAGCTCGGGAAATAAAGTAAGAAGAAAATAAACCTAAAAGGGTGAAGAACTCGGCGAGTTAGCCATCAACTTGTTGAGTAGACACGTATATTCGCGAAACTTTGAAGACTTGCCGTACAAGGGATTTAAGTGACGGACTCGTCGAGTCGGTCGAAGCGACTCGAAGAGTAGCCCCTGTTTTCAAAAAACTATATATATATATATATATATATATATATATATATATATATATATGACATATTTGCCCGAGACTAAGACTTCTTCTGAATCTTTTGGCGGCTTAGCTGCGAATTAAAGATTATTGAAGCTCTGGAATTCAAAGATCAACCCTAGAGATCGATTCGAAAGAGATCTAAGGCAACATACATTCTCTTTTTCTTAATCTATTAAAGAAAACTATGTTTTAAATTATGGATTTTGTTTTTGAGATACTATTTGCTGTAGATATGAGCTAAACACTCATCACTTCTGTTTAGGGTGGATTAGCTTGTTAATATGGATTGATTTTATGGCATGGATTATTTGATTTGGTGAAATCGTTTTGTTAAGCTTGTAAACAATCCTAATGTGTTGACAATAACTATTTTATGCTAGTTATCAAGTCTATTAAGTTGCATGAACATCCTCTTAATTGCTTGCTTCATATGATTTATGTGAAAACAATATTATATGTCTAGTATTAGTTAATATGAACCTAGGATTAATTAGAAAATAAGTAAGTCAATGTGTGAGCTTGTGTGATGAACAACCATACAAGATGTTGGTTGAATTAGTAATTTAATTAACTACAACTACAAATCTTATTTAACCTTAATCAAAATACTAAGAAAGTCATTAGTTTAACCAATTGGACATTGTTTAAATTAATTTTTTTTTCTAAGGATTATTAATAGTGAACATGAATCTAATCACATTAATCGGTAGCCAATGACAAAATAATCCATTGCACTTTCCATAAAGTCAACTATAGAAACAAGTGAGTCGAACCTAAACAGAAGTCTCTTTTATTATTGAATCTAATTCTCTTTTATTTCCTTTAGCTGTTAATTGTTTTTGTTTGAGTATTAGTTAATTGTTAAGTTTCTAGTATTGCAAAACTAGAGAAAACCCTTCTTTTTATTGTTTGTTTTTAATTAGATAATTCTAGTAGTTATTTTAATTGTTACCGTTCCCTGTGTTCGATACCCTGCTTGCTTGAACTATATTGTTAAATGATAGGTACACTGCCTTTCGTGTGTTTATTTGTGTTTGAAGTAATAGGATTAAAACTAGTGCATTTTACACACATCAGTACTGCCCCTACCCCCCACCTTTCAGACATCAGACCTGATTTGCTTCCATTGCAATCATAAGGGCCATAAAAAGTCCGACTATCCAAGATTGACAACAGCAGCAGCGCCAGCTCCAACGACCCTACGGATTACGAATGGTCGACAGGGCAAGACAGATGCTCCAGTGGTGAGGAGCCGAGCCTTCCAGTTGACCGTTGAGGAGGCGCATGCCGCAACCGATATGGTGACATATATGTTTTCTTCTCCTTA